TTAGACTGGACTATGGGACATAAAATGATACTCGTGAAGAGTGTGCTTCTTAGCTCAAGTAGATACATGAGACTAAATGGGCAGCTCCTGTCCAGGGATGAGATGAAAAGGCAGAGAGGGTCAGGAGCTGTTGAATGGACATGGGAAATCCGGGGTGGAAAGGAGGAGTGCGCTGTCACCGTATCGGGAGAGCAACTAGGGTGACATAACAATGTATGTATAAATTTTTGTATGAGAGACTAACTTGAATTGTAAACTTTCACTTAAAGCACAACAATTAAAAAAAAAAAAGCTGGCTCCTGAACTTTCAAAAGTCAAAACAAACCCCCTAAGCACTTTCCCATTAAAGAGGGGCTCTGTGGTTCCTCATCTGAAACTGTTTGTAACCATAACTTGAGGAACCAAGAAACTCCAGAAAAACCCCGGTCTTCCGGGGACACCTCACCAAGACTCTCCACTCTACAGAAGGGACTCAGCAGCCATCCCAAGGAGAAGGCCTTCTCAGGTGAGATAGAAGGTTTGCTGTACCTTTCCACCAAAGAAATGTATTTGTGTCGCTGGCACCAGCCTCCCCCACCGCCATTACCATTACGGGAATCCTCTACGAAGAAGGAGATGACTGTAGCAAGCAAGGCACAGAGAACACTTGCTCTTATACCCTAGTGGTGGCGCTTAAGCTAACAAGTTTGAAAATGCCTTTGGCATTTTTTTAAAAGTGCAATCAATAAAGCAGAGTTCTGTCAAAAAACAAAAAAAAGGTAGCACAGTGGTTCAGAGCTACTGCTGCTAACCAAAAGGTCGGCAGTTGGAATTCATCAGCCACTACCTGGCAACTCTACCAGGCAGTTCTGCTGTCCTATAGGGTTGCTATGAGTTGGAATGGACTCGACAGCAGTGGGATTTTTACAGTAATAATTTATTCATTATTGTGACAAATATACCTTACTAAGGTAAGATGTTAGTAATAGGGGACACTGTGCATGGGAGGTGGTGGTATATGGCAACTCTCTGTACGATCTGCTCATTTTTTCTACAAATCTAACACTGTTCTAAAAAGTAAAGTCTATTATTAAAAAAGTGAATAAGTATTTCTAAACACTAATTCTTCTACCAGTAATGTGATCTTTAAGATATCCTCTTTGCACTAATTGCCTATAAATCTAGGAAGAGTAGTTACTATCCTCTGAATTTCACGACACATATGTCCTGACAGTTTTAATAATATGAGAATTTTGGAAATGCTAAAAGACTTTGAGATCATTTTTAACCAAGTATTTAGCTCACCAGGAAAGATTACCTGCAGCCCTCAAGTTCTGCTACCGATCCACTCTCACATTTTGTAAGCACTTACTTTATACGTGGCAAACGTTAGAGATAACGAGATGAACAAGTCTTGGATCCTGGCTTCAAGCAACTGAATTTAGGGGAAGATACAGAAGATTAAAAAAAAAAAAAAAATCAATATTCACACTACTTTTAGCATCATAAAACTGATTTTTAATCTTATCATCCCTTAGGTCCCTGGGTGGTGCAAATGGTTTGTGCTCATCTACCATATAGCAGTTTGAATTCACACAGCAGTGCTGCAGAAGCCCGCCCTAGAAATCTTCTTAAGTATCACAGCCAAGAAAACCCTATGGAGCAGTTTTGTCCCGTAGCACATGGGATTGCCATGAGTCGGAATCGACTCAACAGCAATGGGTTTTGGTTTATCATCCTTCACATTGTTTGACTTTAAAATAGGGATACCTCGTAGTTTTGAGGATTTCTTCATATGCTTACAAAAATGTCTGGCACGTAGAAAGTGGTCAATAATACTACTTACTATTATTTTTGATAAGATTAACCATTTTGGATTTAGAAAGCCATCATCATTAACTATGGAATAACAACTCCATAGGCAACTCCTTAAAGCTAGTGAATAGACTGAGTTCTCACCAGTCCTCAATCCTCATCACCCACCATTTCTACATCCTGCTGATCTATACATACTGCCTTATACCACATTCCATGTTTTTGTTTAATATCATGGAGGATAGCTACCATAGTAGTACCAAACTCAATGAGACTGGAAAACCCATTTTGGTACTCATAAGTGAAGCCAGCAGTATGTATGGCCACTAATGAAAATTTTGAATCAAACACTGGGGAACCAAAAGACCCAAAGTAAAAAGTGGTGTCCTAGGTAATCACATCAGGGTTGTCAACTATTTTCTTGAAACTTTTCTCAGTGCGCATATGGACATACCGCATATTGTAACCCTCTGCTTTTCTAGCTTGGAGATGTTCCTGGTGTTTTTCTTCTCGCTGACCCAGAGGGATCACAAGACAAGTATCAGTAGACTTTACCTTTCCATCTGGATGGCCAATAATATGTAACAACCCATTAAGTGGCACAGGAGAAATTCCATCATATAGTCCCAAAGGCACTGGTTGTCCATTTTCCCTCAGTTCTAGAACAGCATAATCAACAGTGACATCAGACACCTCAAACCAAAGATTCAAAGAAAAAGCCGTTCTTTTCTTGCTCTGTGGGCTCTTCATAAGCAAATGTCACCCCTGCACATTGACTAATTATGTCTGCCCACTTACTTGACTCTACTTCTCCTACAATGAGGTTTATTACATGCCGACAAGTTAAAACGAACAATCCTCTAAAAACAAAGCAGGTGGCACTACCTTTGTTTCCATTGTTGTCCCAGTATATGTACCCAACTGATTGACCAAAATGAGAAAAATCTTTGTGTTCTTTCATCGTGGTAGAGTTGCTGACTAGTTTCCCAAAGTTTTCTTTATGAAGATTAAACAATGACTTTTCCTTCCTTCCTTCTTTCATTTCTTCCTGGAAGTCTTTTCCGATTTTTTCACTTTGTCTTTCTAAACTGGGATACTGGTCCACAATGTGTGTTCTCGACACATTGGTGTGTCTTTGCTTTGACTCAGAATTCTGAGAGGTTGCTGCCCTGTGGCTTGTTCTTTTCTCAATTTCAACCTCAAAGAGCTTGCCCTCGAAGTCATCAACTAGCTGTGTGCTTTCTACAATAGTGTCCAAGTTCTCAATAAGTTTCCAATCATCATTCTCCAGAAAGGAAAGAAACCTGCCATCCTTTCATAGTGCGTCCTTGATGGTTTCTCCTTTGAAAGCATAGATACAGAGTTTGAACCCTTTTTGTGAAGTCTGTTGTGCTTAACAATCTTTTTTTTCCCCTTCCCAATTGCATAAATATAAAATTTGACAACGTCAGTAGAAATTGTTTCGTCATGCCGACAAAGTACCTGGTTACCTTGTTTACTTCTACCTGGGACAAATGTAATTACCAGGTGAGACATTTCAGGAATACAGCTGAGGGGCATTCCAAGGTTTATGTACCCTTCAATTCCTTGTATGCCACGCACCAGCACTTCTTTGCCTTGCTGAATCTCTCTCTCTTTTTTGAAAGCCTCAAGAGTGTTGAGTGCCACATATAAGCTATCTCTCTCACTATGTGTGAGCTTATGTTTCCTGTTTTCATTGTCCCTGTGGTTTGTAGCCAAGGTAATGATAATTATCTTATTTGGAAGAGTGGCCTGGTCTTTTGGATTTTCCTGAAGCAATTGGGATCTTTGAGCCTGGGTGTTAGTTATATCTCTTGGACATTTTCTAGAGCCCGTCCTCAAGCCCATCTTCATTTGAGGAATATTGGAATTATTCTCTTCTTTTTTAGTGACCTAAAAATAAATAAGTTAAATAGTTTAAAACTCTGAATGCAACCCTAGTCTTTTGCTTTCCTTTTAGTATTCAATTCACAAAATTTCTATGGGAAACTCAGAACCAATCGCAAGAGGCCAGTGAATAGAACTGACTTGGGATCCAAAACATAAGCTGAGCTTCCTGTCACATCAGTCAGCTAAACTGTTGATACCACCACACTGGAGTATTTTTCTGGGAAATATGAGAGAAGAAACACATCTTTTTTGCAGATGCATCAAAAACAGAGATGCTTAGAAGTCTACCACCTCTCTTTTAGTGTTACATCAGGTCTTGTTTACTATTTTCAGCTATATCAATTTTAGATTTTCCAGGCATAGTGATGGATTACACCAAAAATTTTGTTCTTAAAATTCCAAATTCAGCAAGAATGTTACCATGATTTATTATCAGGCAGTAAATGTTAAACAATCATTAGTTAAATGTTAAACTAAATCACTAGTTAACTAATCATGTGGTCACAATATAGTTATTTCTCATAATAAATACCTTGATTCGCTTAGCATTTATCAGAAAAGAACTTAAATTCTTTCCCTTATTACATCAATTCATCCCTAAATCCTGTGAAATGAAGAGGAGCAAATACAGTCTCTCTATATAGGGTCACTATGAGTCAGAATTGACTCCATGGCAATGGTTCGGTTTTTCTGGTTTTGTATCTTTTGGATGGAGAAACAGAAGCACAGAAACTTTTTCTTATAAGTACCTTTCCTACAGTCACATAGTAACAATTGAATGAAGTGGGTATAAGAACTCCAATATTTAATCTAGTGTTTTCTCCATTACACTGTATATTCATTTTGTAAATTTGAATCCTTCATTCCTATTTTTATAGAGCATTAGCTTAAATATCAGGTTGGGGGAAGAAGGATGAATTAAATGAGGAGGATTAAACAAATAGCAGAAACTCAATGAAAATTGAGAGCATCTGATTCCTGTGTCTAAAAGATACATTTTCTCCCTATCATATTCATCATGGTATGGGTGTCAACAGATACAGGTTCGTATGCCAGCAATACCACTTACTGGCAATAGGCCTAACAATGCCAGGATTGTAAAGATTATATGGAACATCATGTGTGACAATGACTAGCACAATGACTAGCATATAATAGGTCAACTTTTGTTTAACCCTTGTTTTCCTTCTTTTAATACTAGTACTAATATTCTGGAGGGAGCCCTGGTGGTGCAATGGTTAAGCACTCGGCTGTTAACCAAAAAGTTGGTGGTTCAAACCCACCAGTGGCTCCACGGGAAAAAGATGTGGCAATTTGCTTCTGTAAAGATTACAGCCTTGGAAACTCCATAGGGCAGTTCTACTCTGTCCTACAGAGTTGCTGTGAGTCTGAGTCAATTCAGTGGCACACAACAACATTCTAGAAAGGAGCCCTGGTGGCTGGCGCAATTGTTAAGTGCTTGGCTGCTAATAGAAAGGCTGTTGGTTCGAACCCACCCAGTGGTTCCATGGAAGAAAAGACCTGGCTATCTGCTCCTGTAAAGATTACAGCGTAAGAAATCCTATGGGGCAGTTCTACTCTGTCACATGGGGTCGCTATGAGTTGAAAATTGACCAGACAGCACTCACAACAATATTCCAGACCAAGATAAATAAACACCAGGTAATATAAACTTACTCGGCATAATACAAATGTTCAAAGAGCACCCCTTAAGTCTACTGCTGTCAGAAATATCCTTGTCACACATGCAATGGGAGCCTGGTGATGGGCTTCCAATTATTCAAAGGATTCTTAGTTGGATATAGAGACTTTCAAAAGGGGAAGTGGGATTGTATATGATTATTGGTTTGTTATGTCAGGAGTAAAAAATCAAATCAAACCCGCTGCCACCGAGTCAATTCTAACTCATAGTGACCCTACAGGACAGAGTAGAACTGCCCCATAGGGTTCACATGGAGCGGCTGGTGGATTCAAACTGTGAACTTTTTGGTTAGCAGCTAAGCTCTTAACCACTACACCACCAGGACATGAGTAAGACAGAGAAAAACAGAACCAGGCTTGTCTTGGAATTTCTAGATAATTGGATGTTCTAGTTTTCTAGAACCAGGAGAAAAGAAAACAAGTTAAAGGCTTTTAACTTGCATTTCTAAATCCTTACCACTTCTCAGCCTTCTTCTTTATAAAATGAAGGAGGATTTATTTTAGACTCAGGAAAGGATATGATGGTTCGATCTGGTGAGGGACCCCAGTTAGTGGAGAGTCCTAACTTAACATCAATAAACTTAAATCCAATCCTTCACTCCACTCTTGCCTTAAGCAACAACTCCCCTTATCCTCTTGCCTCCTTATTCATGAATTGGGGATAATAAAAACATCAAAAATTGTTTTATAAACTGTAAAGCACTATATAAATGTAAGTTACTATTATGATTGAATAGATCAATGATATTTGGAGTGGTATATATTTTTATGCTACAAAATAGTATTAACTTTGTTGCTTTTACTCTGTAGTTTAATACATTGTATTTTACACTGTATTTGATTTTTTGTTCAGAAAGTGTTACAAATAGCTTTTCATTAAAGGCTGCTTTGATATGGTCAAGATATTGGCTACAACACTCCTTCTACCAAAAAAAAAAAAAGAATAAAATGAATTAGAAAGGTTTTAATTTGTTTAATATTTCCAATATCCAATAAGGTAATTTCTTGGCAGGAAGAATGTAAAACCCAGTTCCAAGATGGTTAAGTCTAATACTGGTATACCATGTTTCATGAATAGTATGTACAAACATACTGGAGAGAAATACTGATCTATCTTCCTATTACTCTCTTCATCGAATGAGACCTTCTGTGACCTGTTCTTCTTACAGCTCATGATGGCTTGAAGATGAATAGACAGTTCAGCTGAAACCATAATTTCAAAAAGGTTTGAGTCACAGCAGTGTCTTCATAGTTACAATTATTGTGTATATAAGATTCATTGGGGTCCCATGTCCCACCTTTCTCCTTCAGTTCTAGCCTTCCTCTAGCCTCACTCTACACACTGATGTTAACAAAGCAACTGGATAGTTTATCCACCAGCCATAATCACACCAATAATAAAATCTCCCTTTATAGAGCTGGGAGCCCCTGGGAGTGCGAGCGGTTAAAGCGCACAGCTGCTAACCAGAAAGGAGGCACCTCGTATGAAAGGCATGATGATCTACTTAGGAAAAAACCAGTCAGTGAAAACCCGATGGATCACAACGATCCAATCCTGTTGTGCATAGGGTCGCCATGAGTCGGGGCCAACTTGATGGCAGCTAACAACAACCTATCAACGTTAGTTTTTTTAAGACCACCTGGGTTCAAATAACAGGGTTCAAACATCACTTACCAGCTGCAGGAACTTGGGCATATTAACTAACTATTCTCTGCCTCATTTTCCTCGCCTCTAAAATGGGAGTAAGGTCCCTGGGTGGCACAAACGGTTTATGCTCTACTACTAACATAAGGGTTGATGGGTCGAACTCATCCAGTGGCTCTGAGGAAGAAAGGCCTGGCAATCTGCTTTACAGCCAAGAAAACCCTACGGAGCAGTTCTACTCTGTAACACATGGGGTCACCATGAGTCAGAATCGACTCCAGGGCAACAGGCTTGTTTTTTTGGTTAAGATGGAAGATGTGATAGAATCAACTTTTGTTGTTGCGAAGATAAACAATAAAATGTAAGTTTCTGTTACATATATAGGTACTACAATTAAAAACATGCTTGTAAAGCCTTTAGAACAATAACTAGCATATAGTAAGTTTCCCAATAAATATTACTACCGTTACTATTACCTGTATTAATACACTTATCACATGGATGCATATTTTTAAACAGCAAAGGACCTGGAAAAACAATAAAAAATGGATACATATAATTGAGGAGCTGGGCCATGCTGTAAGATTCTTGAAGACAGGAATTTATTGCCCAACAACTAGCAGAGTTTGGGGGTTCAGTGTGTCTATTGATGATGGTTTATCCTTTAGAATCTGAGAGAAGGTCTAGATGTGATTACTAGACACGTGTAATTATTAATAAACATGAACCCAAAAAAGTATAGAAAGTGGGCAGATGGAAACACGAATTCTGCAATCCACTGGGATGAATTTAAGCAATCACGGTAGAAAGGGACAAGAGGGTAAGAAAACGCCTCAATATCCCACTCCCAAACCCAGTTTGCTGTATGCAGACTGAACTATGTTATATAAAAATGTAAAGTGCCCTCAGGTCTCCTTCTCCGGTCTGTTTGTACTTTGAGAAGTACAGGTTCTGCTGGCCTAAAGCACTTGCCCCACGTCTTACATACAGCCTGTTCTCGGTTTCATCTCTAGCGCGCGCGCACACACACACACACAGAGGGACAGGAATCGCGACTGACCTCAGGCCTCGTGCAAGCTCCTCAACCCGCAGTGGGGACAAAGAATAGACACTGAAATGAAGCCGGCGCGCTCCTGGCCCCCCAGGTGGACAGCGCCGTCCTGGCTTCGCCCCTACGCGATGCCCCTTCACCTCTCAGCCTCGGAGAGCTCCAAGCACCCTCACACCCGCTGGGCAAAGCCCCCAGGCGCCCCCCGCCCGCTCACCACTAGCACGCGCCCGCTGTCTGGACTTGAACCCAGCGTCCACGGTGACTCGGTGTTTAAAGAAAATAGCTGGTCTGGCCAATGGGGCGCGCCCAGGTTAGCTGTGACTGAGCCGGAAAGCGGGTGCTAGCGGAGTTTAGGGAAATGCTGCGCGGCTGGCGGCATCTGGACCTTCCTTTTCACTTTCGCCAAGCCTTTTCTCGCCAAGGGCTTCCACCCGTCTCTTCCCACAGCTGTCCCTCTGGATTCTTCACTTCTTTGGACAACTGGGGAAGCGGGGAGGCTAGCTGTTCAGGGCCTCAGGTAGTTCCAGAGAGACCTGACCTTGCTTGGTGCTTCCAGAAGAATCTGGAGGCGAAAGACCCCATAGGATATTTTTCCACTAGCCCAGGAAAGGAGTGAAGCGTTGTCAGGGCTCTGGAGTCGGATGCCTGCCTTGCAGACCGCAGAATTTAACATCATAGCGCAAATTGATGGTGTGCTTAATGCTATCAGAACTTAGGAAAATGAACCTCGGGTGCCTCCTTTCTTACCAGTAAAAGGTGCTAATAATATTGCCGATTTCATAGGAAAGTGGCCAACTTTAAGGGAGATAATGTATTTAAAAGCTCTTAAACGGTGCCTGGGCTTATTAAGCACCATCAGTTTGTGCTATGATGCTAAACAAGCGGAAAGAAAACTTGGGCAGCACTGAAAGAGCCAGAAAGAGGAGGGGGCACATTTGAGGCACCTCACAGAATCAATAAGACTAGGTGACTCTTCCAGACATTCAGTATGCTCAGGCCACTTGGCCTTTCTGTTCCTCAAACATGTCAAGTTCATTCCCACCTAAGACTTCGTTCTGGCGATTCCCTCTGCCTGGAAAGTGGTTTTTCCAGAACTTGACTTGGGCAGTTCCTTCTCTTCATTCAGGTCTCAGATCAAATGTCACCTCCTCTGAAAAGCCTTCCCTGAACATTCTATTAGATTCCCAGTCACTCAGTATCTGACGACACTGATTTATTTATTTCATAATACTTATCAAACCAAACCAAACCCGTTGCCATCCAGTCGATTCCGACTGATAGCGACTTGTTACCACCTGAAATTTTTGTTTTGTTATTCGTTTTTCTTCTCCTCAAGAGCCCTGGGAAACCGTGGTAGTATAGTGGTTAAGCTCTTGGCTGCTAACCAAAAGTCTGCAGTTCGAATCCACCTACCGCTCTGTGGGAGAAAAGATGTGGCCTCTGCTTCCATAAAGATTATAATCTTGGAAACCCTATGGGGCAGTTCTACTCTGTCCTATAAGATCGCTCTGAGTCCTAATCGACGCAGCAACGGGCAAATAGTATGTAAGCCCTATGACTGCAGGGAACTGTACCTGGGACAATGCTTGACATACACTTGGCAGTCAATAAGTATCTCTTGACTATGTGAATAGTCAAGAATAAGTCAATAAATATCTCTGTGAATATTTATTCATGTGAATGAATAAGCAGAGAACAGAATGCTATTAGAGACAAACTGAAGATGGACATGTTGGGGGACAATTGGCAGAGCGAGGTGGTAAGTACTGTGCACGGATGGGACCAAAGGCACATGGCCAGAGAGAAGTCATGTGGCTGCTCAGCAATACCATAGGTTTGAGGTCTTGTTCTCAATTTTGTAGCTCTGGAAACTCAGTTTCCATCGATTCAGGTGCTAGAGAACCAACTTAAAAAAAAAATCCAAACCCAATGCCGTGGAGTCGATTCCAACTCATAGCGACCCTACAGGACAGGGTAGAACTGCCTAATAGAATTTCCAAGGAGTGCCTGGTGGATTTGAACTGCCGATCCTTTGGTTAGCAGCCATAGCACTTAACCACTACACCACTAGGGTTTCCAAAACCAACTGGGGATTAGTGACTAATGAAATTCATGGAGTTATTTTGACTGGGAGGAAAGGAGTGTTACAAGGACTGGTGCAAGGTATAATGAGTCTTTTCTCCATTGGTGTAAGTCTTTCTTTAGCTTCTGGCTTAAGAGAATATTGTGTGAATTTGGGTAAAGGTTTAGATGGACCAATTTTTAGATTAATAATCTTGTCTATACCATAGAAATGTTTGCCCACAAAAGTTTGACACCTCCTTAAGATCTTCAATTAGGGTCTGATTTAGACACAAGGATACCAGTAGATCAGTGTCCAAATCAGCCACCTGGGCCCCCCTACCTCCTTTTTTTTTTTTTTTTTTTTGGTTTATAGGAATTTGACTTGAGGGCAATGGATTTAGTTTTGGCTTTTTATAGGGATTTCAAGAAAGAGACCACAGGATAACATTTACTCTGGCAATTCCACCTGCACAGTAGCTCTTTCTCTCTCAGATTGGCAGATGTGGTATCACAGAGGAGAAAAGAATGTTCCTTGATTAAAGAAAGGTCCAGGGGTGACAGTTATGGGCTGGGACATGGGAAATGTCTGAGGGTTATTAGAGACACCCACAACCTGAGTAGTCTGTTGACTTCAAGGGACAAGTTGTGCAACAGTAGTAGGGTTTCTGACTGATACTGTAGATCCCTGTCAACCAGAAATTTGCAAGGTTGTTGTGATGGACAGTCTCTAGGCACTTCTTCACCAAGGATAGAAGTTTTTTTTTTTCAAATCTGTTCACCTAATCAAAAGGATTGCTAAAAAGTCTCCTTGCTCCCAGTGACAAAGTCAGCATTTGAGGAGTTCAACAAATGAAAGGAGTTCAACTTAATGCAAGAGCTATTTCCCCACCTTTGAGGTCAAAGAACACCTGAGGTGAAAGGACCTCAGAGGAACACAACACTTCTAGGCCGAGGATCTTAGGCTGCAGCGGCGGTGAGGTCTGACTAGGTCTTGCTAGGGTCTCCAAGACTGTCGAATACTGGATTCCCAACATATCACCAAAACAACCTGCTGATAAAGCAAAATCAAGTTTATTGTTTACCAAGGTAAGGGAGAACAACAACTTGACAGAACAGTCACTTGGTAGTATTGCACAGAGGGGAACAGTAAGGTTGGGCTATTTATTGAGACTTTGAAACCTGATTTAAGTCTGGGGTTTTAATGTGGGGGTTGGTTAGGAATGGGTAAACATCATGGTGTAACAGTTTAGGAATAGTGCACCCAACAAGGAGAGAATTTTTAGGCAAAGGTTGAAGAAGTCTTGCGATGCGAATTGTTTTTGGATGTTTTCTAGTAAAGACTGAATTGGACTTTCGGGAAGTTGCTTCTTAGGGATTGAATTGTGCCTTCCCCCCTCCCCCCGAAGATATGTTG